TAGTTTCCATTTTCTTTTCCATCTCAAAGGGTCAGGATTTGATGTGTCCGCCTTGCCTGCCTTGCCAGTACATGCGGCGACGGCAGTACATGCAAGCGATGCTCTCCCTCTTCATCGAGGTCCTAGCAAAGGCCATTCTGCCAGCCACCAAGTTTGCAAGTCACAGCAAAGATGTTGCAAGGGCTGCCATTGCAAAAGCTGGAACACGATACTATACTAATAATATACCATACTTGTATACTACAACAATATACTATAATATATTGCATTGTACTATGTTGAACTATATTTTATACACAATATACAGGCATCTTTCACCTCTCAAAGCTTGCTGGCGACACATGCTAGCCTCCGCTTGCACCCAGAAATCCCAAACGCTCAGCAGCCCGCAATCTGAGCAAATGACAGCACCTAATAAATGAAAGTGCGGGTAGGGAGTATTCCCCTGTTACAACGGAGGCAAAAGGTTCTGCAAAAGGTGCTGATGCCTCGCACAACCTGAACGCCATTTGAGCTGAAGGCAGCCAGCATGAGGTGAACCGAGCTGGGAGCTTGAAGTATGCATGAAACCCAATGTCCAGAATGCCTGGTGGCGAAAAAATCTGTAACTGCGAAGAGTGCGAGAGCTTGGAGTGGGTTCAAGAAACCGCGAGGATCATCACCTGTGCCACAACTGGTGAACTGCCTAATGCTTCTAATGCCTCTGTGCGTGTTTCCTTTCCTGTCTGTTTAGACGATCCAAGTACCTTAAACCCCCTGTGCACAGGTTGGGGTATTCTCGCTGCTTCTTGACTTGATGGAGACGACGATTGTGTCGTCTTTGCATCATATAATTTCATGTCATTCTAGTTGCCCTGTACTATGACATCTGCGCATATGTGAGTAATAATAAAATATGATGAACACAAACCCTACTACAATATGCTAGTATCCATTTTCTTTTCCATTGTCCCCATATAACCCCTATATACTATGGTAGCTTCCATGTTCTTTTCCATTATCCCTATATCCCTGAACCCTATATAACATATTCCCTTCTTCCTTCCTAACTCCCCGGCAAGACAAAGCTTGGCTCATGAGGTTGGCCTTTATCTTCTTGCCAAGTTGGCATGCAGACCCGGTATCCACAGAGCTGCCAGATGCCAGGGAGGCCTGCGCGGATTTCCCAGATTACCAGTCGCAAAGCTGCAGAATGCGGGAATTTCTCAAATGATGTCTCCTCTCTTGGTGGTTCTTGTAGTGTTTGGCAAGTACTTAGTCGGACCGCGGCTTGGATCAAGAAACTCCATGGGGCTGGCTTGAACAGGAAGACCAGAAATTGTCCCTAAACCCTAAACCCTAAACCGCCAAGATGTCAATGGCCCAGGATCTGTGCTCGCATGGCAGGGTGCGATGTAGGAGACGACCCACTATGCTGCAGTGGCAGCCTGGGTGCATTCGCGATCGGCTAGCAAGGATTGAGGATTTCCCAAGTTAGGGGTACCCTTTGGGGTCCCAGTATAAAGGGTTGTAGTATATTGGGATTTATACTGGGTCCCCCTATTGAAGGAACCTACCGATTCTCTGGGACGAAGGGGGGAGGGGTGTAGATGCTTTCTTTCAGTGCATGGTGGCTGCTCCGAGGTACCTTGCTTTGTGCCAAATCCTTTTTGACATTTGCAGCTGGGCTGTGTCTTTGCAAGTTGATCTGCCGTTTGCATCAATACATGGATTGCCCCCCTAAGAGAATATGTGGCTGTCTAAGGAGAACAGGCGCCTCCTTTTCGAGCAATGGCTTCTTGGACCATTCATCGTCTGCCCCGCCCCTACAGCCAATCACACCAGATCACAGCATGGTTTTACCAATTGATTGGCCCATTTGCCAGCAAGTCCTGCAGTTTTGCTAAGGTCCGTTCGTTGACATGATCCCCGCGCTGCTTGCACCGTTGATTGCCAAGAGACTAAACAACTGGGCCGATCATAGAGATACTGGGTCACAGGCAGCTCCGAGCAGCTTTGGATTTGCGCTTGAATGGGGAAGACAGTTATACTATGCTATAATGTACTATACTATTATATACTATACTATTATATACTATACTATTATATACTATACTATAATATAGATGGAACGACGCATGTAAATTGACAACAATCTCACGGAAGTGCAGGCACACCGTCGTGGCATTTGTACGACAATCCGCAGATTCTTCGGACAATGCTGCTGTCTCTGCTGCGGTGTTCCACTCACCCGGCTGCCATCAAGCTGCAATTCACAGCTAGGCCAGTGCAACTTGCTGCCGTAGCAGTAGCACATGTTGAGATCATGTCAGCAGCGAGAGATGGATAGGCCCAGGACGCCACTCGAGAGCCTTAAAACTCTTGCGGCATGAAAAGTCAAACAACAATGCAATCTAGCGCAAGTGGACAAGGCTGTCACTGATCTTTGTCTTGGACGCTGAAGTGACGGGATTGCGTTCCTTGGTCTGCAGGCATATGCAACTGTCAGCAACCTGGCCCGAAGCAGTCAATGTAGCCCAGGCTATTTGTGCTGCGGTCGCACTTTTGCTACGACAGAACTTGACATGTCTGATGTTGATGATGAGTGCTGTGCCTCATCTGCACCTATCTTGAGGCCTGAGAGCAGCTCACATTCTCGTTTCTATCGTTTTCTCGTCAAAGTAGGCCCTGGTACACGCACGAGGTACATTTTTTTGGCGGGGTGTTACAGTAGGCTGGACGCCCTTCACCTGTGCACAAAAAGATGCTAATCCGGACGCATCTAAAAGGAAGGGGTCAGATGCAGCATTCTTCGATAGCGAGCTCCTCGTGCCAAAGATGAGTTAATGTCAGCATTGTAGTCCAAGGCCCGTCGTTTAGGACCAAGGGCCAACAGGGCGTTACTGACATAACTTCGAATAAGCTCCAAAAACTGACCCTCAGTATGTTCCCTTGCGCTGCACATTCAATCAAATTCTAGGGACTTTAGGAGGGACCCCGAAAATGGACCCTTAATCCCACTACCATTTACCATACATAACCCTTACATAGTCATTATATACTTATTTAATTCCTATATCCCTAGGTAGTCCCCATATTAACCCCCCTTGAAGAACGGCATCTTCATGGACCCTGCCCAGAGGTGAGAGATGTTTGGACGGCCCATTGGAGCAAGTCGTTTTGCGGGAGTTCGATGCGCTGGATGAGCTTAAGGCCCCGCTGTGTGCAGCTGTTGCTTCTCTCAGGCTCACAACAGCAGCAGTAATAGTAATGGTATCAGCAATAGTAGTAGTGGTAGTAAAAGTCTTGGTGACTTGCAGGTAGACGTGCGTACCCGCTAGGACATCAAGCTGAACTTCCTTTTCGTGGTGCTGTTTGCCCCAGTGCTACCCTGGGGAATCATCCCTACGCTGCTGGCGAGACTTCTGGAGGTGAGGTGCAAGCTCCCGTGCTCTGAACGCATTCAATTCTGACGCACCAGTTCTGTGACGCTGCTGCCTAATCCCCACACCCGATATACCCTTAAAACCCTACATACCATATATATATATATATACATGGACATATACCCAGAATATAATAACTTCTTATGGTTGATGATTCAGGAAGCTATTTCTGGTTCGGCGGCGGAGCTTCCCCCGCGATGCGCAATTACTGCACAGCACGCAGGGGAGCTTTACTGTGCCCAGGCTAAAGTGAGCTATAGTCTAAACTCCTTTAGAGGGGGTTCTATAGGGGATTATATAGGGGAGTATGACAGGGTCTAAACTCGGGAGTATTATAGGGGTTATTAAAAGGGATACTAGGAGTTCAGGCTATAGCTCGAGGGAGCAACACTAAAAAGCAGTGACTAGAGCAGTGGCCAGACATAGCCAGAGTTGGGCAGTGAACTCCAATGATGTGGGGGCTTCCCAAAATTAGGGGATCCCCATAATAAGAATTATAATATATTGGGGTCTATATTATTGGGGTTCCATTATTTCGGGGAACTACCATGTGTCCTAATAGGGACCCTTAATCCCATTACCATTTACCATATATAACCCCTCTATAGTCATTATATAACCCCTATATCCCTAGGTAGTCCCCAAATTAATCCAATGATGTGTCCTGTGTTGATGCAAGTCGTGCCTGTTTCGCTGAGGATGTCGTGACCTCCTTCGCAGTGTTTTGGTATTTGGGACTATCCATGGTCACATACAACACCGAGTTGTACAGATGGAGTGCTGCAGAACTTCTGCTGATCTGGCTTGGGTTGGGTTTTGCTGGATCGATACTCGTCAGCTCCTTGTCGATATATAATCAGCTTGTTTGAAGCATGCAGGGCCCGAACTTTTGATGGTGCCGGTTGATGCGGAACAAGAATCCCGACATTAGCCATGTCTTCGAGCAATGCTGACAAACCCAGATTTCAGGCATGTTTCCCAGAAGCTGCGCAAAAAAAACTCAGAAGGTCAACAGAATTCCATGACAACACTTTCCAAGGTTCTGTACGCAAGTGTTTCATGCATTCCTTGCCGAACCAAAGGGAGCCCCAGTGCAGATGCCGACTTGGTGTCTGTTCCTGGTTGATTCTGAGGGTTGCCCAAACTTCAGCGTAAGCCCAAGCTGTGTAGCTGCATGGTTAGCAAATCAATGCTGTCTTGAATTCCTGTGCTTCTGACGTGGTCAGTCTCAGCGGCTTGAACCACTTTGCTTGGACTCCCGGATATGGAAAAGGCATATAGCAAAGCTGATGGCAGACGAGAAAACATCAACCACATGCATACAAAGTGTGCATATATGGCTTCAGCATGAGCTGCTCGCTGCAGTAGACGAAGGCGAAAACGATTAGCAAGCCTCCTTGGGGCTACTTGCTAAATACTGCTGTTCGTTTCATGCTTTAACCATATGGGTGATATTAGGGCTATGTATGAGTTATATTAGGGTTATATACTTGTGATTTTACAGTAAAAGTTGAGGCTCTCGAAGAATGATTTTGAGCTTTTGAGAACATGAGGCACGTCTGAGTCTCTGTCACGCATGCCGAGGTTTGTTTGTTCGCTTCCTTCAGTGACTTGGGTGCATTTCCTGTTGGTGCAGCGCAGGAGGTTTAAAGCACAACTTAAACAGCATGAGCTATAGTCTAAACTCCTTAAAAGGGGTTATCTAGGAGATAATGTAGGGGGCTACTATAAGAGATATAAAGGGGGATAGCTCACATGGACGGTAGAGTTGCGTTTGCAGTCTCCCTAAGGAGATATGCTGAGAAGCCCTCCATCTCCCCTGCTTAATGAATGGACGGAGCAAGCTGACAAGAGCGTCCGCTTCGTCTCGGTAGCAGAAATTTCTAGGGAGTTTCGCCAAAAATTGTCCACAGAGAATCCTTCCAAGAGACTGCCATAATCCTGTCATTTCCTGGGGTCCCTAAGGGCCCCCAATTTTGAGAAACCCCCTCTCTCGTCAGAGTCTCAGAAGTGCTTCTGAGCCTGTGCTACGCGTTCCCGCGCGCTTTTTGCTCGTGCACCAGAACGGAAGTTCTGAGAGATTAGCCCAAAAAAGAATTCCCATGCCATCTCTAAGAGATGCGCCTGTAAGGACGTGCAATCTTCTGATGCTAGGTGTTTGTTCTTCATGATGGCTATTCTGCACAGAATGGCAATGTGTATAAATCTTGCAGGTATATATTAAGGAACCAATCCTGTGTTTTGCTGTGGGGAAGATTCGGTTTCGGCTGGCCAGACTGGCGATAAGAGCAACCTCAGTCAGCCCTGCCTCGTGCATTTACGTTTTTGCTGGGCTGCCAGAATAAATTCGTTGTTCCAGGCAAGAAATGAGAGCGTGGTCGCAAAGAGTGCCTTTTGGTGCATGGAGAAGGGTGTGAATGCCCCAGCACACTTCAGCTAATGCTAGCGCAAGCATATCCCTTTTCAAAGAGGGTTGCAAGGTGCGCTTTGTCATGCAGGCTTTTCTCGCGGGTGTATCAAGTTCACAGCTTCAAGCTTCAAGACTTATGCATACACCGCAGCCATTTGGCATGGGACCGCTCTTACCAGCAAAAGTGAGATACAAGCATAGTGGCTGATTCCGCAGCAGTTCATATGGGTGGTTGTCAAAATTATGGTCCCTTTTTGGATCCCTATTATATTACGGGACCGAATATTTCGGGTACTCAACCGTAATTTTGACAACCACCCATATCAACATAGCACTTAGACTGATGCCGCTTGACCACAGCTGTCGGTTCCATGAGCAAGCCATTCAAAGTTTCTGGAGCAGTTTCAGAGATGGCTTACTGGTTCCAAGTAGGGAACAAGCGAATATTCCATCTATGGATTCTATAAAGATTATACTCCCCTATTCCCTACTATAACCCCAATATATACGCACTATCATAATGTAGTTAGTAGTTTCCATTTCCTTTTCCAGTATCCTATATTACCCCGGTATTCCCTTATTCCCTACCAAGAACCAGTAAGACAGACGCTGTACAATGCATTGACATTTCTTCGCCATGGCGCCCTTAACCGTGATATCACCGCAGCCTGAGGCAGCCTAACGAAAGGGTTTAGGGTTTAAGGGTTTAGGGTTCCCTAACCCTAAATGAGCTATAGTAAAAACTCCTTAAAGGGTGTTGCATAAGGATTTATATAGGGGACTATTATGGCGGACTATACACGGGGATCCTAGGAGTTTAGACTATAGCTCAAGTAAGTGGTAATTTCCATTTTCTTTTGCATTATCCCAGTACATGTCCATTACCCCCAATATCTGGGTTGCTGTTCAGGAATTTAAATTTAAGTCACTATATTGGGGAAACCACATTAAGTACTATATATACCCACTATGGTAACTTAAGTCCCTACAGTCGCCTCCAATTTTGGGAATTACGTGCAGCATGGTAAGGCGGTCGAGTTTCGCGTTGCGCGCGATGGCCTGGCACACAACAGCAGGGCTTTCACATAGGATGACTGCTTGTCAGTCGGGAATATGGGAGTAGAATCATCTCTATAAAACGGTCCTTCGAATCATCCCTATAGATTATAACCCCTACATACTCTCTATAATACTCCCTATAGATAATAATCCCTATAGTGATTTCTATAGATAATAATCCCTATAACCAGCAAGTGGAGTTGTCTCAATGCTTGCACATTTCTGAGCTATAGTCTAAACTCCTTAAACGGATTATATAGGGGATTATATCATTATATAGGGTATTCGATATGGAACTACTATAGGGATTACTAAGGGGGATACTAGGAGTTTAGATCGTAGCTCACATAGGGGCAGAGTTGTGTTGTCCAAGGCTCATTGAATGCATGGGTGAAGCTTCGCAACATGCCCTTCTGCTGCAATGGCGTTATATGCGGTTGGCAGCACTTCATGAGGTTCAGGTCAGGTACCGCCTGCTCAGGTGGAGTGGACAAGTCGCATACAAAATGAAGACGACCGCACCCAAGGATTACACCATCAAGCACTTTGCTCAGCATGGACATGCATTGACATATGAGCCATAGTCTAAGATCCTTGATTGAAAGGGTTATGTAGAGAACTATTATAGGAGCTATCAAGGGAGATACTAGGAGTTTAGACTATAACTCATATGTCATTATAAACCCCAGTTTCCATTTCATGTTCCATTTTCTTTTTCCAGTTGATTCTCCATTACAGGGGTTGTTCAGGGGGATGCTAGGAGTTTAGATCCCTACGCCCTAAATTTTCTGTAAATGGATGGTAAAAGGGTCGATTAAAAAAACTAACCCTAAACTCCTAAACCCTTGTGGCTCAAGTCAGGCTACAGTCAGGAATTGCGTTTGCGCATTTTTGCCCGACCGGCTGGCGCTTGAGGCCGGCATCCGGCTCAATTCGCCAAGGAGAATTCCACGAAGTGCTCAGGGCCGAGTTGGGCAGAAGTTGGGTCCCCTTTAGGGTTTAGGGTTTAGTAAGGGATTACAATAGTGCCCCCCCCCCCCAAAGGTACACCCCCCCAGGGTCTAAGGAGCTAACAAGGACTATACAGGCCGAAATAGGGCCTAATAGGAGTTCTAAATCTGGGGGGGTACCTTTGGGAGGGGCACTATTGTCATCCCTTATTTTGGGACCCAGTAACAGCCGAAAATGGGGGTAACATTAAGGGTCATATATAGCTATAATTTAAACATTATCCAATTGTTGCTAGGTGGGGGCAGGACCCAAGGCAGAAGTGTGGATTGCCACCCTTGAATTATTATACGGTACTTTCCCAAATAGGGGGACCCCAATATAGACCCCAAAAGACTATAGTCCTTATTATGGGGACCCCCAAAATGGTACCCCTAATTTTGGGAAGTCCTCATATAGGGATTATCATAGCCAGTGCGGGAGCGATTGAGCTCAGGCAGATAATACGGAAATCTCCGGAAGAGGGAGGAAGTCCGGACAGCAGCTGCTTGCCCAGATTACTTTGCTTTAAACAGATTATCCCTATATAACCCCCTACACTATACAAAAAAGTAGTTTCCATCATCTTTTAAATTATCCCAGTATAACCCAATATAAGCAGTCCATCCGGATGAGGCAAGAAAGTCAAGTTCCTCATTCAAGCTGCTCGGACTGGACATGACAAATGAAAGCAACTTCAGCTTGCGGGCGTAAAGTGCTAACCCTAAGCAAGCCATGCCTTTGGAGGCGGCTGGCGTGACAACTCAGGCATGGGACTTAAATATCCTCAGAATCAGAACAGAACGGCCTTCAGTTTAATTACAAAGAGACAGGCCCAGAAGCTGTTGCTCTACGCCGCCGACAAAGGCAAGGCTGCTGGCAGGACATACTGACAGAAATCCATAGCTGGAATGTTGGTTGAACATGTTGAACGCTGCACAGAGAGGTTGCTGTTCATCATTGCCTAGCATTTTGGGGTTTAGGGTTTAGGGCTTGTTCAGTCCGGACATCGAGAGGGTTGCAAAAGTAGAGATATGACGTGAGAGACAAAGCAGTACCATGTCTGTTGAGGCTTTAAAGGGGCTAATAGGGGTTATATACGGTTTTAGGAGTCTTTAACCCCCAATGATGGAGAAGCAAATGGAGAATAAGATGGAAAACGAAGTGGAAACAGAAAAGCTCTTGCGTCCACCGGATTTTCCCTGCTGCGCTCCAAAGCCGTGCTGAGCGTTTACATGAGCTATAGCCTAAACTCCTTGAAGGGGATTATATAGGGAACAATTATAGGGGTTATCATGGTTATCCAGGGGGATACTGGGAGTTTAGATCATAGCTCACATCAGGACAAAGTTTTGGGAAAGCATCCCGAAGGAGGTCGGGGAGCAAGAGCTGATGAGCAGAATGGAAACCACTATCGTATAATGGGGTATATCTTGGGTTATAATATTATATAATAGGGTATATATTGGGTTATAACAATATGTTATAGTAGGGTATATATGGGGTCATCATATTCTATTATATTGGGTTATAATAGGGAAAAGGGGATATCATCCCTGAATAGTGGGACCCCAAGATAGACCCCAATATCAATGCCCCAAGGCAGACGACTTTTTTTTGAGAATTTGTTGGCTTGAGAAAGGACCTCCAGGAACAGCAACTGCCGGTGAAGATGCCGGCTGAAGAGCCTGAAGAGTTCGAAGACGCCTTGGAGGTTGGCGGATCCCCTGACATCCTATAGTAGTTTCCATTATCTTTTCCATTATCCCTGTATAACCCCTATGTAATAGCCCCTATAATATAGGGGCTATTATATAGTGGTTATATAGGAAACTACTATAGGATTTATATAACCTCTATATAACCCGAAAGTCTGTAAGTAAGACAGCCGCCGATTTGTTTCTGTGCAATATCGCTGCTGTGCTCGTGAAGGTGCCTCACATTGAGGAGCCGTCAGCAGATGCAACCAGAAGCGAGCTCTGGAAAGCCCGCAAAGCCCGATCGCAGGTGCACTTCCATTTCTTCCCTTTGCTTTGCCAGGGTGCCTTGAAGCTGTATCCTGCACTCTTTTGAAAGGAGTTTAAAGGAGAGGAGGAAGGAGGCCTGCAAACTGAATTTGCACATGGGCCACATTCCTTTTTCGCCCTTTACTCCTTGTGACTGTAGTAGTTTCCATTTTCTTTTCCATTTATCCCTATACAACCCCAATATTATACCCCAATATTCTATCTACTTAAGGGGGACCTGTACTCCTTGTGACTGCAGACGAACCAGCTGGTGGAGCTGGCGCTGGCAGGGGTGCAGCCGAAGCCTTCGAGGCGGCACAAGACCGTCAGAAGCGTGTGCCTACGAGAGCTATAGTCTAAACTCCTTAAAGGGGGTTATATGGGGGATTATATGGGGGACTATTATAGGGCTTACTAAGGGGATACTAATTATAGGGCTTACTAAGGGGATACTAGGAGTTTAGACTATAGCTCACGAGTTGCCACTGTTGTTTCACTGTTGCTGTGCTGGAGCTGGCATTGCAGGCACCCCACAACAAAGGTCGCAAAGGTGATGGACGCGGCGAGACTGCAGAGGCAGATGTGGGATGCTAACAGGTACCTCCAGTTCGTACAGCAGTTTGGATTTCAAATCCATCGTCCTTGCGTTTGATTCTCCACAGTTACCCTGCATCATCCCTACATAATTCCATATATTGTATATGTGAAGACGAATCTATACATATATATATATATTCTTATAAATGCCCCCTAGCAAGGACATTTCATTGACAACACAGGCACTGGAGAAAGCCCCACGGAAGCCTGGGTACCCAGGAGGCCCAGCCACCGCCATAAGGAAGATATAGTCCAGGGTGTAATTAGGATCCCAAGATGGGGTCTAGGGTTTAGGGTCCCAATATGGGGTTTAGAGTTCAGGGCCCCAATATAGGGTTCAGGGTTTAGGCTTCCAGGCGAGGATCTCTGCAAGCCTGTTGCAAAAAGGGTTCCAGATTCAAAAAAGGGTCCCAACATAGACCTCAGTATAACATAATCCTGATATATCATGATTATAGGCGAACCTGTGAAAAGCAACATGTAGATCCTCGCACTCTGACTTGCAAAGTTCGTGGAGGTCCTGATTTGGGGTGTTGTGATCGGGGAGCTCTCTCCCTCACTCCAAATCCACATCTCGTGGCAACTGTCACTGTGAGGGGGAATGGTTTAGGAGTTTATATATATATATATCCTCATAATATAATTCTCAACCGCCCAATTTTAGGCCTACCAAGCAAGCATTAGGGTGGATAGAGGGGTCCTTCTTGTAGTTTAGTCCCGCAGATATTCCCTACTGGCCGTTAAGCACAGGGGAAATATTGACTTTAGTTCATATAAAATCCAACCTCCACATCTACAGTAATTTCCGCTATGTTTTCCATTCTCCTATCTACCCCGTCCCTAACCCTAAACCCTGCAGCCTAAACCCTAAACCCAGTGGCAACAGGATTCCTGCCCAGGATCTCGCTGTAAAGCGCTCTTTGCCCGGATGGCGGTGAGGAAAAGGTCCGAGAAAAAAAAAACTAAACCCCCAATCCCCAATGTGTCTAAACCCTAGACCCTGTAGTAGTTTCCATTGTGTTTTCCATTCTCCCTATGTAAACCCAGTGTATACCCTATAATCCTTATATAACCCCTATGTTATCCATATAATCCCTGTAGTTTCCATTTTCTTTTCCATTCCCTGCACCCCTAAACCCTAAACCTTGAACCCTAAACCCTAAACCCTGAAACCCTAAAACCCTAAACCCTAAACCTTAATCCTAAAGCCAGGCAAGCTGACTGACCAGGATGTTGATGACATCATTGGCAGAATGACCAAAATAGGGCCCGACGGCAAGCCAGTGGTCCAGGCCATCCTCATAGAGCCATAGCCTAGCCTAGGGATTCAGGGTGTAGGGTTCAGGGTGTAGGGTTCAGAGTTTAGGATTTAGGGTTCAGGGTTTAGGGTAGTTTAGGGTTTAGGGTCTCGAGTTCAGGCTTTAGGGTTCAGGGTTTAGGGTTTGGGGGCACTTCCAGGCGTCGTCGATGCAAGCCTGTTGTAAAAGGGGTTTGGGAGGGGGGGGGGTTCCAGAAGCCCAAGTACAGACCCCAAGATGCCCCCCAAGATACTATGTTGATCCTTCATATGGGGACCCGCAAAAAAGAACCCTAATTTTTGAAATCCCCAAGTCCCTATTGACCCCTATATCGCAGTTTCCGTGTCATTCTCCGTTTGCTGCCATTGAGGTAATATCCTCTCATATTGCGATACAATCCCCATAAGATGTCACAAGATGCGTGCACAGTCCGTATCCCTCAAGCTTCCTGTGGTTGCGAAGGGCTGTGGACGGATTTAGGCGGAGAAACGC